GTGTTGGACGATGACTCGGGTGACGGAGCAGTATTTGAGGACGATTCAGTGTTAGATGACGACGCCGAAGAGATTTGAGTCGCCTGCGACCAGCCTTGGTCACCGGTTCCGCTAGACTCCGTCGACGTCGCAGGAGTGGGCTCTTCGATCCCTCCCGAGGTAGCCGCGTCCGAAGAGCCTTGGTCTTCGGATTCACTAGAGGTGGTTGGAGCCGTCGTCGTGGACGGGGTGGTATTTGACGAGCCTGCCGTCGAAGTCGACACAGACGGTTCCTCCTCGTCGGAGCCACTGCACTCTAGACTGTAGTCGTTGTCAGGGTTCATATCTTCGTCCGAGCCGCTGCATTCGAGACTCATATCATAGCCGGGAGACACCCCGCCTTCGCTTGACCCACTGCAATCCACACCCAGTGTTCCATCGTCGTACCCACTGGAGTCACCGGTTGAAGGCGGTCCGGCGTTGGATGAAGGCGACAGTCCTTGGTCTCCATTTCCGCTTCCCGTCGGCGTCCACCCTTGGTCTCCAGTTCCGCTTCCTTGAACACTTGTTGGTGTCCAGCCCTGGTTTTCACTACCACCTGAGGTTGGCGGAGTCCAGCCCTGTTCGCCACTTCCACCTGATGTCGGTGGCGTCCAGCCCTGGTTTCCACTACCGCTTGAGGTCGGAGGCGCCCACCCCTGACTACCAGTGCCACTTGATTGTCCGCTGGTTGGTGTCCACACCGTAGGGGTATCTGGCGTCGTAGGCTGAGACCAAGTTTGACTGCTCCCGCTTGACTGCCCGCTGCCCGCTGAATAAACCGACGGCGTTTCCGGCATCGTTGGTTGAGACCAGCCTCCACTACCGCTAGGTGTGACCATGGGAGCAGTCGTGGGCACATTGTTAGAGGACGAGGCCTCCCACTGCATCGGAGAATCGAAATTCCCGAAGCCGCTCGCTCCAGTAGCGGCATTCGTCGTTGGTGTGTCGCCTCCGGGCGCTACTGTGCCTGCAGTCTGGGTGACGTCATTCTGACCTGAGAAGTCGATGGCGGACGTTGTGGCAGCCAACGTAGCTGCAAACAACACCGCAGGTGTGCGTGGGAACCGCTTTGGTGCCATCCTTGGACAAATGGACAATGACTTCTCAAGCACAACAAACAAGGGTCAAAGACTTGGTACAGTGAGGTAGGAAAACGATTAACAGTCCACCCGCTGTTGCTGATCGTTCAACTATACGGCACAGTAATTCGATAGAGAACTCTGCTATTAGCGTTAGATGGTTAGTTGATAATCAAGAATCGACGCCCTCCTTTACAATAATCATTGGATCGGATTCGCGATGCAGCATTTCTTGAAATCCGATATCGCAATTATGGTTGCCAAACAAAAAATGCACTAAGTGCTCTTTTTCTCGCGGTGAAGTCTTCATATGCCACAAGCACTCCAACTTCGAATACAAGTGTGAGTCAGAACGGGATAGTGCAGCACAGGTGTTGATCCGCATGAGCCAAACAAGCACAACAAGTATCGCTTATCGAAGCTAATCGTACCGCAAAAACTGAACATTTAAAATAATTATTATAGTATTTAGTTATTATTTAAATATGTTTCATTTTAAAAATATTCAAAACTAAAGGCCCTTAACTGATCGACGGCCCTCAACTGGTTTTTTCCCTTAGTAAAAGTTTTTCTTTAATACAAGAACGATTAACGCATGTAAAAAGTGATACTGTAAGAAGAGACCAGATAAATTATCTGCAAATATGAGTAAAGACAGATTAAACATTACGTTTGCAGAAGCTAACATCGATTTAAATTGGGTTACAGTTCAACGATCTACTTGCTCGTACCAAATGCGAGCTGAAAACGATACTAAACGAAAAACACACTCGCGCACAGATATACGAGCACCACTACATCTAGTGTCTATCCACTTAGAAGTTGTAGCGAGGCTTGAGATGCTCGAGGACACGACGCAGCATCCAGCCGTCGCTATCTGTGACAGTCATGGAACTCCCAGCCATCATGATACAGTGTGGCCACTGGTCGTTAGGCTTGTCAGCCGTCTCGTAAAAGTCCGGGAGTCCGAAACCGTGACCGATTTCGTGGGCCACGATGACAAGTTGTTCCTCGTCAATAGTCTGTAGCATGTTCTCCAGGTTCACCTCCTGACCCCAGTCGTAGCCAAAGCCACCTTCAAGACCCTGTTTAGGCCACAGCGAAATGTCGAACGGCTTACCTTTGCACGAACTGGTGTCCGACCATGAACCGGCACCATTGTCGTAGAATCGGTAGCAGCTCTGATCGCACTGCGGAACACCATCCGAGTCGAGATCTCCAACCGTGATCGTACCGAGGGAGTCGTCTTTCCACTCCAGTAGCGACGCCTCCTTCACCGCGAATCCAACGATGTTAATCTTGATCTCATTGTACGGCCAGCAGTCGTATCCGATCAGCCAGTGGTTCCAAGCCGCGTACTGGCGCTCAAGCATGGCCTGAAACTTGGAAGCCACACTCTTGGAGAGCTTTTCGGTACTGTCCCAGCGGACGCAGTAGTTGAGCGTACCCTTGTTGTTCACGATGTGATCCATGATCCAATTCTTGTTATCCATGACGTTCCAATTGGCGTCGCGTGTCGGTGCGTCGGGACCAATTCGGTTCTTCCAGATCCAATCAACATCCGCAGCGCTAACATATTTGTTGGGGTTGCCGATGACGCACTCGCCCGATTTGGACGTCACCGTTCCAAAGGTGGCGTGGTCGCCGCTGCTGGTGCTGTTCGTGGATGTCTGGGTCGCATCCGAGCCTTCCTGAGTCGAAGAGGAAGCCGTCGATTGAGCCGTGTTCGAAGAGGACTCCGCCGTGTTGGAGGATGAAGCCAACGACGAAGTCTGGGTCACCTGCGATGAATCCTGATCGACGACGTCTCCAGTTCCACTTGACACCGTGGACGTCACAGTGTTCGATGACGAGCCCGTTGAAGTGATCGGGTTTGACGCCTCGTACTCTCCGGAAGCTGCCGACGTCGCCGTGTTCGACGAAGAAGTCGTTGATGAAGGTTGAGACCACGTTTGGTCACCTGTTCCACTGGAGGTGGTAGGGGCTGTGGTGGTCATCGGAGTTAGATTGGACGAACCCGCCGTTGAAGTCGGCACGGTCGGTGATCCCTCCGTGGTCTTGTCCGATCCGCTGCACTCGAGACTGTAGTCGTTGGTCGGGCTGGTGTTGTCTCCCGAACCACTGCATTCCAGCGAATAGTCTCCCTGGTTACCGATTCCGCTGCCGGTCGGTGTCCACGCATTGGATGCGTCCGTCGACGTGGGTTGAGTCCAGTCTTGGTTGCTGCCACTGCTAGGGGGTGTCCAAGAGTTGGAAGCATCGGTGGTTGGTGGTGTCCAGCCTTGGTTACCACTGCCACTGCTAGGAGGCGTCCAGGAGTCGGTGGTTGGCGGCGTCCAGCCCTGGGATCCGCTGACAGCAGAGGGGGCACTAGGGACCATTGTGGGCACGTTGTTCGAAGACGATGCCGTATGTGCCCATTGATTGGGTGAGTCATAGCTGCCTGTAGTCGATGCTTGTGTTTCGTCACCAGGAGCGACGGTGCCTGTGGACTGTGTGATATCATTCTGGCCAGCGAAATCGAAGGCAGACGATGTGGCAGTCAAAGTGACTGCGAGGAGCACTGCAGAGGTGCGCTGGAATCGACTTGGCACCATCTTGGAAAAAATGACAATGGCCAAGCAACGGAATTTAACCAACGGGAGTGATCTAAGCTAAACAGCATGGTTTCCTCTAAAAATCACGACTTATCCTTTCGGTCCATGTGTGTGGACTTTGCAGCTTTCATTCCCACAGTCTCCTTTACAAAAGGTCACGTCAGGTGAACCTGTTTTCGCGTTCTGTTGCAATCCTCTGTTCGAAGATAACAGCAGATGAGCGAAGTTCGTTCATTCGCACAGCAAATCCTCACGATTTTTGAAGTGCCCTGTGGTGAAAAGCTCACTGACATTGTAGAAACAGGATACTCCCTGACTCACGCATCAACCACGTAACGAATAGGGATAGTAGAGGAGCCCTTATGGAAGAGCTACAGTAGCTGTTGGGAACTGCAAGCAGAGCTCAAATTCTTCATTTTCACCTGTCGGGTAGACTATCAACAGTCGTGCCAGCAGGACCTGCCGTGTACGTGTAGCGATAGACCATGTACTTGCGCTCCACGAATAAACTGCACCAGAATTTGGAGAGCAGATGCCCTCGACGGATTCATTCCTATCCCCGCGCCTTGGTGACGTTCGGACACCTCAACGACACGACCATGAGGCTATCTACTGTATATCAATGTGAAACGCTTTTTATCAAAACGCTCAATCTCGAGATGGGAAGGAAAGCCACACCACGGAGTTCATGCTTCGGCCAAGGCAATGCAAGCATCAACACCCAAGCTTTTATCCGGTGGACAGCATTCGAAAAGAAGACGACCACATGACATCAGAGCAGCACACTGTATCCATCCTATGATCTTAAAAATGCTTTTCATTCTTCTTTCGTCGCGTGATTTGACAACAGTACATTGTATTGGTCTACAAAACGTAGACTAAGCGGCGTCTGGGATCGCGATATCCAGTTGTCTTATCAAATGACGTTACCCTAGTGCAGTAGTAAATTTCTTGAGTGCAGCTGTGAATGTCGACAATACCTCTCTGATTTACAGCTTGATCTTGTAGTAGTCACCGACTGGGATGTGCTGTGCAGGGCCATAGAAGTCCAAGAACACAATGTGCTCGATCTCCATCACGTAGAAGCTAAAGTCATGGCGCTTCGGCCAGTGTTTCATCTGCGGGTGTCTAAAAATGCAAACACGTTGTCAAGAGCTGTAACCCTTCAAAAAAAAAACAAAACAATTATACCAACTCGTACTTGGAGAAGACAGCACGCTCGGCGTAGTTCCGTTGGTTCTCCTTAACTGGAACAACTCTCCCTGTCATCGAGAGTCGCCAGCACGTTGGGTCTTCGGCGTCCATGAGGCAAGATTTCGCTCCCCCTTGGGCTTTTGACAGTGCCACGGTCGCGTTCGGATTCGCCTTCAAGTCCATCGCTACATACGTTTGGGTTCCTTTAGCCACTCCTATATGACGTAACAGTAGCGAGTTTCTCACCTGTGAAGTCATCGGCTGACAGGTAGAAGAACAATGTTCCAGTTGCGTCCTCCTTGGCTAGCCCAACACCATCTATAGACACTATCGTCAATATACTGTTAACAGTACACTATGCTGCCACCGTCTTCTCACCACTGTAGGAAACGACATTTGCGAACGCTGATCCTCCGAACGTGACGGACGTGGTGGCCATGATCGCCCATACATTCTCGTGCACGAGCATGCGAGCGTGTTTAGCGTGGAGCTTAGCGAACGGCCCGCTGTCCACCTCGTCGGGGACAAGCGACGTCGTCTCAGCGCTATAGATTTCACCCGCACTCGCGGTGATCAGCAGCGAGAGCAGCACAAGCAGCGAACGGAGGACGGATGGAGACATTACAGGGTTCTTCTCTGATTTAATCAGCATAATAATAAAACCTGATTGGGTGGGGCTATTCAACTTCAACATCGAATCAATTTGACCCAATTTGGGTTATATATCTTGCTGGTGGATGTACGCAAAAATCTGCCGGTCTAGCCGTCATTTGTATGTTGTATATCTAGGATAGGGCGTCTAAGCCTCCGCCACAGTGATCGTCTGGTGGAGCGTGTACGTTTGGCCGGCGGGCAGCGCCTGCTTCTGCGAGACGCGGCCTGGCTCGACAGCGAGCATGTTAATGTACTCCTCAGCGCCAAAATCCTTGAAAGTCTTGGAACGCTCCACCCACGGGTTCCAGATCACAGCGTCGGTGTCCTGCTTAGTCTCGGCCGCACCATTGCCAATGAAGCCAGACTTCTCGATCACCACAGTACGGTCCGCGGCGTTGACGCCCTTGGTCGAGACCGTCAGCGTTGACGGAGCGTTGTAGTAGATGCTGTCGGTCTCGGCGATGATGCTGAGTTCAGCATCCGTCTGTGTCTTGTTCGCCTGAGCCACCTTGTCAAAGTACTCGAGACCGGAGAGACCGGCCACCTTGGTGTTGCCGTCACGCACGTCATCCACGTAGATATAGTTGTGCAGCAGTGCATGGAAGTCGATCTGCTCCGTGTGTGTGTTGTGCACGATAAGAGCCGTCTCAAGCTGGTTTGCCGATAACTTCACCTCGTACTTGAGCTCGAACTCGACAGGCCACATCTTGCGGGTCTTGTCGCTTGCAGCCATGGTGAATGTAGCGACCGTAGGGCTAGCAGCATCCGCAGCCTCATCAACACCAGCTAGAGTCCAGTTGGTCACACGTGCGAAGCCGTGACCAGGAAGGCCCTTGGCACTGCCAAAGTTGGGGAACACGACGGGAATGCCACCCATGATCGGGTTCACGCCGTCCAGGAACGAATGGTTTGACAGGAAAATGACGTCGCGAGTCGGGTCCTGGGCCGCATGGAATGACTTGACGTGAGCGCCGAAGAGGAACACCTCGGCGTTTGACCCCGAAGGATGCGTGAGCTTGGCGGTCGGCAACTCGGCATGCGCACCGGAAGCAAGCAGACACGCCGTGAGGGCAGCAGCGTTTAGCACGATAGACTGGAAGGCCGGCATTGCTGTGTTCGAGATAGGATAAATTGCCTTATGAACTGCTCAGATCGACCGGACAGGGTCATTCTTGCATGTGACAAGAACAAATCGTTAGTTGGTCCCATGTGTTCAAGGACCACTACATTTTCTAATGAAACGTGCCTGTATCATGCTCAAGCCGTAACCTTAGTTATTCACGTAAGTTACTACGGCAACAGCAAGCATGAATGGAGTGAGCGTTGCTTACCGACAAGAAGTAAGGTATTGGCGATACAGTGTCGCGGCCAAGATTAGACTGATGAGTGGGCTAATGAATGCACTCTACTGCCGCAAAGCAGTGCCGTGAACCCTGTCATAATCTCGCTGTGCGGATCAAACTTGTGGGTAGGAATGGCTTCACCATCGTCTGCATCGCTTCGTTACCTCGTTGCAAACTGGTTCGCATGGTTGAGAAATCCAAACGCTGAGTCAGGGTGCTGTGGCAACTCATACTGATCTGCCCTTACACAATGGACACTTTGCCTAAAGCAGTTCTACATGTAACACAACGGACGCTACTTTTCAGATTTGTCCAAATAAGAAAAATAAATAAGAACTTCGTAGAAAAAAAAACTCGGGGCTTGCTCCCACGGCACGAGAACCCTTGCAATATAGAAGATGGTCTCAACAAACCAGGATTACTGAATCGTGCACGCACGACTTTTATTCTGCAAGGCTAGCTTCTCCTCTTCGAGAGAGCGTAGTCGTCTCTGAAGCTCTTCGCGCTCTTTGGCATCGCTGATAGCGCGCTGTTTCAGCATCTATCCAACAAGCAAGTGTTAGGAAAATCATTTTACATCACCATTCATCGTTAATTACCTCGAGAGCTTGGTCAGTGGAGTTGATATTGATCTGAAAACGCTGGGCACTCTCGTTCGTAGCTTGGAGCTGGTCCTCCAACTGTTTGCGGGCTTGTATCAGCTCCTGGTTTTGCTGTTCTCGGATCGCTAACTGCTGCTCCAACAACGATCGTGCGTACACCTGTTCGTTTCGCGCCAATTCAAGTTCTTGAGCTCGCTGTGCATCCTGCTTTGCTTGGAGTTGAGCGTCCAGACGTTCTCGATCTTTTGCTTGAGCTGCGGATTTCGCTTCATCCAGTTCGGCTTCAACCCGTTGCCTCCGATGAATTTCCTCAGCTACTGCAGCTTCACTGGCAGCTAGCGCCGCATCACTATAGTTAATACTTGTAGTCGTTGGAGCAATAACCTTTGCTTCAGCGTTTTTTGTTGGGGGTGACTCAGGTGCACTTAGGGACACTGAAAGGAAAGTAAACTGCAGCATTTTTGTATCCACTTGGTCGATTAGTTCATCTGTTACTAAAAGTTTGACAACCTGAGTGAACGTGTTAGACATCAAAATACGAAGGCAACTACAGGCTCTCACTTACGTTAGTATGATCAACAGGGAGGCAGAAACTCTCGCTTGAAGTAGAAATCTGGTACTGTACTCGAAGTGTCTCGGTGTTGTTCAAAATGAACTTCGGTGTGTTTCTGTCTAAAGGCTGGATTCGAATCAGTAGCCAAATATATGTACCTCGCAAGGAACTCAGGGTTCTCTCTCCTTCGTCGGATTCATCTGCAAGGCATTCACCTTTAGAGTCCTCCATATCCACGTTGTATTTGTCGACGCTTCTTGAGCCATTTGACGGACATGTAGTGTGAATGAGGGTCTCCGCTCGCAGGAATCCATTAAGCAGTTCGTCGCGCTCCATTAGCGGAGGTCGAATGGCTGCTCGCAGATGCACATGCACGGCATCGAACGGCAAATTCATTGTCGATTCCTCTTCTATGACGATTTCTACGTCTGTCTCGACATCAAACATAAAGCGCAGTGGTCGAAGAAAGATGGCAGCGCTCCCCGCTACACGAGCAGATGCATTCATACTCGACCTTGACGCTCGAGTTGTCTTGACTTCGTTCTAGTCGTCCGAGAATAACCTAAAGTTAACGAACAAATGAGGCTGAAATAGGTCTTGGGCGTGGCAAAACTCGAGTATGGTTCTCTCTCACGTGCTAATTGTAATACAACTCATATCACCCATGGGTTTCGTACCTCTTGCTGATTTTTTTCCTACTAATACTGAATGCGATGTTTCCGCGTGTTCTGCGCGTATGCGTCTTTTTCTCTCGTCCTGAATCTGGCGAAGACCGCCATGAAGTATCTTGCCTGTCACGGTTGTCTTCTTGTCTCGAGTTAATGGTAGTTGTACGTCATGTCTTCGTCTGTTCACCTGTCGGTCGGAGACTCGTTCGAAAATGAAAACGACAAGGACTGTGCGAACGAATTAAAAGTCTTCGAGTGTGCACGACGCTTTTCAGGGGAGTCCAACGCTCCCCGTAAATATGGCGGTGGCAGCACCGCAGTGGGTTTGACGAGAGGCACGGTATCATGTCCTGGAGACACCTGGAAGTTCCCCCTCAGCATGTTCATCTTCGGCATTGACGTCTTGGATCCACTCGCTGTCATCTTCTCCAACTCATCAGCCGGTGATAATGAGCGCATCATCACCGGCATCTCATGGTGTGTCGACGACCGCGACGTCGTCGATAACGGTGTAGCCATCATACTTTCCAGCGACACGAAGCTGGTCGTACTCAATGGACTTGATACAGCAGAAAACGACTGACTACGCTGTAACGGGCTGCTAAATATCTGATCCTCCTCCAACGAGCGCGACTTGTGCACCACGCGCTCCGGTGTGGGGGGTACTACCTCCTGTTTAATCACCATAACGGGCTGTGGAAGCGTCTGTGCCATTTCCGCCACTGCAGTGGCATGCTCCGCTGCCAGCACCTCATGTTTTACTGATAATTCTGCGTCCATTGCCGGTGTGGAGCGTCCGTCCGCCATGTCAATATCCTGTTGCTGGTTCTGATCCATTACGGCGCCTTCGCCGAATCCAAAGCCCTGCAGTCTTTTTCCTGATCCAAAAGTGTGGCGCAGCACTCGCTTCTCTTTTGTAGCCATCGATGCTGCAGCGACTCGCTCCTGTTGTGCCTGCACACGGCTCGCCCTAATAGCGAAGTTTCGACACTGACAGCCTTGACCAGGCGCTGTTTGGTGCTGATGATGGCTATGCAGAGACTCCTCCGATCCACTCAGCAGCATCTGCTCGATATCCTCCTCCGCGCTGCCCAGATCTGCTACGTATCGCTAATTTAAATAATAAACTCTTATTTTTATTTAAAATCCTATTTTACTTACCAGGCTGGAAGCTGGAGCCGAAGTAGAGCTCGCCAGACTCGCCGAATGCGTCGGACAGCTGCGCGTCTAGCATGGCGCTCGGTCGGAAGACGTCGACGTCGATGTCCATGTCTACGTCCAGAGCGTCGTCTCCTTCAAGCGGAAGCAGCAACGCCCGCCGCACATGCTCAGAGGCAGACGCGTCGTCTTCGCTCACAGGCGAGAGCGCCTTGAGCTCAGCGTCGTCCAGCGCACTCACGAGCTGCATTCCCTCGGGCAACGCCGCCATGGTCAATGGCTGGAGAGTGCTCGAGTGAATGCGGACAAGGCCGCGCGCACTTGGCTTCACTATGCTCCGCTTCAAAATTGCCTGTCGTCATACAAAGTGTAAAAGACGTGCAATGAAGCGTTTCTATTGGATAATATAAAGGATGGGCTAGTTGTGTGTATATTGTGTAGATATTGTGTAATTTTTATGTAAAGTTCAGTTGTCATGACAGAGCAATAGTGGGTGTCAAATATCGTTTTAGCTCAAAATTGAGGAGCTGAATATCAACCAGTAATATTTACCTAAGAAGAAGAACGCCTGAGACCACCCTTAGAGGAGCCATTCGAGCTTTGCATTCAGCTGTCGCGTGGCCCTCCAAGCGGTGCTGCCCGTGTTACTGCCTGCGGCCGCCCGTGTGCCTGCCCGAGCTGCGTGACAGTCAATTTGACTGCCCGACCTGCTGCCTGCGCTCGCTGTCCGAGCTACTGTCTGTGCTGACCGCCTGCTC